CTAATTGCTTGAACCCGGGAGGCAGAGGCCATCTCAAAAATAAATAAATAAATAAATAAAATAACCAGCCAACAACAAATGAGTGCTGGCAGAAAAACAGCATCAGAACCTGACTCTCCTAACTCCCAATCCAATGTTCTTTCCACTTTACTACAGTGCCTCTTGTTGGTATCAATTTATTCAAATCTTTTTTTTTTTTAAATGACACCGAGTCTCATTCTGTTGCCCAGGCTGGAATGCAGTGGCATGATCTCAGCTTACTGCAATGTCTGCCTCTCAGGTTCAGGCAATTCTCAAGTGAATCTCCTGACTCAGCCTCTCAAGTAGCTGAGATTACAGGCATTTGCCACTACGCCCAGCTAATTTTTGTAATTTTAAGTAGAGACAGGGTTTCACCATGTTGGTCAAGCTGGTCTTGAATTCCTGACCTCAGGTGATCCGCCCGCCTTGGCCTCCCAAAATGCTGGGATTACAGGCATGAACCACTGCACCTGGCCTCAAAATTAGGTGAAATCCTAATCTGAGCAACAAATAACTGAAGACCAGAAGAAGGTAACATGTGTTGTGAACCAAATGGCTGAAAGATGGCCAAATATGACCCATTGTCCGTCAATACTACTAAAATGTGGCCAGGAATGGTGGCTCATGCCTGTAATCCCAGCACTATGGGAGGCTGAGGCAAGCGGATCACAAGGTCAGGAGTTTAAGACCAGCCTGACCAACATGGTGAAACCCTATCTCTACTAAAAATACGAAAATTAGCTGGATGTGGTGGTGCGCACCTGTTATCCTAGTTACTTGAGAGTCTGAGTCAGGAGAATTGCTTGAATCTGGGAGGCGGAGGTTGCAGTGGGCTGAGACTGTGCCACTGTACTCCAGCCTGGGCGACTAGATTGACACTCTTTTGAAAAAAAAAAAAAAAAAAAACCTGCCCGAGCTCGGTGGCTGACGCCTGTAATCCTAGCACTTTTGGGAGGCTGAGGTGGGTGGATCACCTGAGGTCAGGAGTTCGAGCCCAGCCTGGCCAACTTGGTGAAACCCCATCTCTATTAAAAAAAAAACAAAAACAAAAACCTAAAATATTACTTACCTAATGATCAATATTCCTGCAGAGATTGATACAAAATTATTTCCTGACACTCCCTTATTCCAAGTGTGGCTTCACTTTATCCAAATGCTAACAGCAGATGTTGAGAGAAAAAACTGTAAAGCTTTGATCCAGGTCACTGTGCTATCATTTCTGTTTGTTATATCTAGAGCACATAAATAGGCAAAACAACAGCCCCCACCCAGAGATTTCTTTCCTAAGAAAGAGCAGGCCCCTATATATTCTGTAACTCATTTTTTTTTTTTTTTTGACAGTCTCGCTCTGTTGCCCATGCTGGAGTGCAGTGGCATGATCTAGGCTCACTGCAACCTCTACCTCACGGGTTCAAGCAATTCTTCTGCCTCAGCTTCCCAAGTAGCTGAGAGTACAGGTGTATACCACCATGCCTGGCTAAATTTTGTATTTTTAGCAGAGACAGGGTTTTACCATATTGGCCAGGCTGGTCTCAAACTCCTGACTTCGTGATCCACCCACCTTGGCCTCCTAAAGTGCTGGGTGATAGGTGTCAGCCACTGCACCCAGCCAACTCATTCAACTTTTGAGGAGGTGGACACTATGCTGTTAACATCTCTTTTCCTCTGCATTGTCAGTCAGGCTCATGTACATCAATCTCATTAACACCTCCATCTTCTTCAGAGTAGAACGAATCCAGAGATGTTGAATGCAATAGATCTGCAGGGTTAATCCTCTTCTCCAATGAGGATTCAAAGGATTTGAAATACTTTTACCCAAAGATTTTCAAGGATCAACATCTAAAGCTAGTTGATATTCTTTGATTTACAGCCAACCAAAAAAAAAGGGAATACACACACATGCAATTTCTAACCTATGGCTAGAGCAGGGTAAAACACTAAGGATAATTTGGGAGAAGAGGAAGAATGCTGAGGAACAATGTGCCATCCTCATACGTGAGGGCATTTAACTTCCTCATCAAGGTACCAAAGTAGGAAAGGTTCAAGAGATTCTCCTGCCTCAGCCTGGTGAAAGGTATTTCACCAGAAAAGCTTTGCCAATTCACACTGGGCAAGGTACTGCCCAAGGACCCATTAAAAACGCTTCAGAATAGCCCTAAAGAAACAAGAAAGTAATTCAGCTTCCACCTCCATCACTTCCTTACTGTTTTTGTCCGAAGTATACACTCTATGAAATCATCATATTCTATCTTGCACTCTTTCTCTGCCCGGATAGTACCGATTCCATGTGCACATTCTATCCATTCTTTTTCAAAAGCATGGCATCGAGCAGGAAACTTGTAGGGCTGTTCAGCACTTTGGATTGTCCACCACCGATCTAGGTTAATGCCGAACCTTTTCTGCACGTCCAAGAAAGGCATGTCTGTAACTGAAAAATTAAAAAAATAAGTAAATAAAAGGCCACAAGTGAGAAATTTCTTTCTTTTTTTTTTTGAGATGGAGTTTAGCTCTTGTTGCTCAGGCTGGGGTGCAATGGCACAATCTCGGCTCACAAGTAGCTGAGATTACAGGCATGCGCCACCATGCCCAGCTAATTTTGTATTTTTAGTAGAGATGGGATTTCTCCATGTTGGTCAGGCTGGTCTCGAACTCCCAACCTCAAGTGATCCACCTGCCTAGGCCTCCCAAAGTGCTGGATTACAGGTGTGAGCCAGCATTCCCGGCCAACTGAGAAATCTCTAAGAAAAAATTAGATAATCATGATAAGTAGCCCTCTAGAAAGCTGTCTGGATACTATTCTCCGGATTTCTTCTCACCAAATTTTTTCATAAAATAGGTTCTTCTAGTTTATAGCAGATAGCAGTTTTTGTGCTCTTTCAAAACTCAAGGAAAAGAGAACTATAACTAAAGAACAATGCATAAAAGTACTTTCTCGGCTGGGTGCGGTGGCTCACCCACCACGTGAGACAAAGTCCCGTTCTGTCACCCAGCTGGAGCACATGGCATGATCTTGGCTCACTGCAACCTCCATTTCCTGGGTTAGAGCAGTTCTTCTGGCCAGTCTCTCAAGTAGCTGTGACTACAGTTGTGCGCTACCACACCTGGCTAATTTTTGTGAGACGGGGTTTCACAATGTTGGCCAGGCTGGTCTTGAACTCCTGACCTCAGGTGATCCACTCACCTTGGCCTCCCAAAGTGCTAGGATTACAGGTGTGAGCCACTGTGCCTGGTCTAAAAAAAATTTTTTTTAATTAGCCACCTGTGGGCCGGGCACAGTGGCTCATGCCTGTTAAACCCAGCACTTTGGGAGGCTGAGAAGAATGGATTACAAAGTCAAGAGTTCAAGACCAGTCTGGCCAACATTGTGAAACCCCGTCTGTATGAAAAAGACAAAAATTAGCCGGGCGTGGTGGCTCACGCTGGTAGTCACAGCTACTTGGGAGGATGAGACAGGAGAATTGCTCAAACCCAGGAGGTGGAGATTGCAGTGAGCTAAGATTTTGCCATTGCATGCCTGGGCAACAAAAGTGAAACTCTGTCAAAAAAAAAAAGGGAGGGAGGGAGGGGTTAATTAGGCCATGCAGGTGGCTCAGGCCTGTAATCCAGCACTTTGGGAAGCTGAGGCAGGCAGATCACGAGGTCAGGAGTTTGAGACCAGCCTGACCAAAATGGTTAAATCCCATCTCTACTAAAAATACAAAAATTAGCTGGGCATGGTGGCCCAGGTCTGTAGACCCAGCTACTTGGGATGCTGAGGCAGGAGCATCATTTGAATCCCGGAGGCAGAGGCTGTAGTGAGCTGAGATGGCGCCACTGCACTCCAGCCTGCGCAACGCAGGGAGACTGAGTCTCAAAAAAAAAAAAAAAAAAAAAAATGGGTTAATTAAAACTTACTCTGTAGAACATGAAAGACATTTGGAAAAAAAAATTTACATGCAAATATAAAATAATGTTAAATGTAAAAAAAAAAAACTAACAAAAAACTCTGCCTGCCTAAGATGACTGGAAGGATGCGCGCGCACACACACTCACAAATGTCAATATAAATGTGTATTCATGGTAGATTTAAAGGTGAATTTAACTTCTAAAGTTCCTTCCCATCCCTCAGTCATCATTTACTGAGTAGTTACATTCCAGGTACCCAGATGCGGGGGGCGGGGAGGAAAGCAGCTCCAACGTTAGCACCAGAGGCACACACTCGGATTGGGAATCCACTGCAAGGGACACGAGTGGGTAAGAGCTCGAAGGAAGAAGCATCAACTAGGCCCCAGAGACCAGAAAATGCCTTTAAGATGGCTTGCTAGTTCGCCAAATGACGATCAGTGAGCAGAGTGTTCCAACTGGACAACAGCCCGAGTTACCTACAGCCGGAGGTGGGACAATGGAGCCCAGTGTGCGTGACTGGAAAAAGAATGATATGAGCTCAGGAGGTTGGCGGGGCCGATATCACGCAGAGTCTGCAAAGCTGGGGTAAGGAGCGCAGATGTTAGGCTAAGAAACAGAAAGCCAAAGCATTTGTAGAGCAAAAACCTAAACTAATCTGGAAAGCGGAGAGAACTGCAATCTCCGGGTTTCGGTGCCATTGGCTGTGGGGGTGAAGCGAACCGGAAGAGCAGGGCACAGTTCGGGCTTGGGAGAAGGGGACACACAGCAAGCAAAGAGGAAATTTGTTAACGAGATCTCGGAAGGAAGGCCCTTAAGTTAAACTGCCCCGCGGACGTAACCATCCCCTACCTATCCAATGCTCGTGCCCTTGTCTCTTCTCTGGCCTCCGCTTCAGGACGACGAGCTTGCGACGCGGACGCCTGCCGTAAAGGGTGCCCGCCGTAAAGGATGCCCGTAGCGTGACGTTTGTAGCGCGACGTCAGAAGCCGACCTTCCCTCAGCGGTCTTCCCAGGAAACCAGAGAAACCAAGCCTATTGGCCTGGTACAATGGCTTACTCCTGCAGTCCCAGCAACTTGGGAGGCTGAGGCAGGAAGATAGCTTCAGCCCAGGAGTTCGAGACCAGCCTGGGCAACATGGCGAAACTCCCATCTCTACAAAAAATAAAAAATTAGCTGGGCATAGTGGCTCATGCCCGTGGTCCCAGCTACTCAAGAGGCTGAGGTGGGAGGATCCCTTGAGCCCAGGAGATCTAGGCTGTAGTGAGCCATGATAACGCCATTGCATTGCATTCCAGCCTTGGCAACAGAGAGCAAGACCTTATCTCAGGGTAAAGAGCGAGAGCGAGAGCAAGACAGGGAGAGAGAGAGAGAAGAGAGAGAAGAGGGAGAAAGAAAAGAAACCAAACCCATCAATCATAGAGAAATAGAGAAGACCTAGCCATTAGTGAGTTCTTGCTCCTTTCTTGCACTGCGGCTAGCATGCTCATGACAACACTGACTGGTGAGAGACTTGACCAAAACCACAGGGGAGAAAACACTAGTTTTCTCTGCCTACCCCACTAGTGGGTAATCACATGGACTATAAACCCAAACCACCACATGGGGTCAAATGTAGGCCCCTACCAATTTCGTGTAATCCTGAGAAGGTTTCTTAACTTCACTGCACCTCAGTCTCCTCATCTGTTAGGATAATTATAGTACTCACAATGGAGGGTTGCTATGGGGATTAACTGATTTATGTATAGAGCACTGAGACAGTGGCTGGCACATGGGAAAAATTCCAAGGCAGTCGCAGTTCCTTGATGTCTCAGTTTTCAGTTTGTGTGTATCAACTGTTACCATGCCTGTCATTTCTTCCAGAAACTCCAGTGACTCTCTTTGACTACATCAGAGACTCTGTAAAGTGCTGTGGGTATGTCTTCAGGGGGTGGGTAGGGGGTGGACCACAAGGTGTGCATGAGATATTATACATTGGAGGTATGGGAGGAAAATACTAGTATATATATATATGGATAATTTTTATTATTTTTGATACAGGGGCTCACTCCCATTGCCCTGCTAGAGTGCAGTGGTGCGATCACAGCTCAATGTAGCCTCAACCTCCCCAGCTGGTGATCCTCCTACCTCAGCCTCCCGAATAGGTGGGACCACACATGCATGCCACCACCCACCTGGCAGTCTTTATGATTATTATTTTATTTGAGATAAGGTATCACTCCATCACCCAGGCTGAAGTGTGGTAGTGCTATCATAGATCACTGCAGCCTCAAACTCCTAGGCTCAAACAATTCTCCTGCCTCAGCCTCCCAAGTAGCTGGGACTACAGACTTGCCACCAGGCCCAGCTAATTCTTTTTTTTTTTTTTTTTTCTGAGACAGAGTTTCACTCTTGTTACCCAGGCTAGAGTGCAATGGTACAATCTTGGCTCACTGCAACCTCTGCCTCCCAGGTTCAAGTGATTCTCCTAGCTCAGCCTCCCAAGTAGCTGGGATTATAGGCACATGCCAACATGCCCAGCTAATTTTTGTATTTTTAGTAGAGACAGGGTTTTGTCTTGTTGGCCAGGCTGGTCTCGAACTCCTGACCTCATTATCTTCCCGCCTCAGCCTCCCAAAGTGCTGGGATTACAGGCGTGAGCCACCGCACCTGGCTGCCCAGCTAATTCTTCAAAAAAATTTTTTTTTGTAGAGTTGGAGATCTCTCTCTGTTTCCCAGGCTGGTCTCCAACTCCTGGACTCAAGTGATCCTCCTGCCTGGGCCTCCCAAAGTGCTGAGATTACAGGCATAAGTCACCATGCCCAGCCCTTTTATACATTTCTTTTTTTAACTCTGAGAGAGAGTTCAGGGCAGGCTGCTTGTAAGGATGTGACAAATTCTTTTATACATTATTAACCTAAGAAAAAATAGGGTGCCCTTTAAATATTTTTTTTAAGATTGAAAAAAAAGTCAGAAGGAGCCAAATCAGCACTGTAAGGTGGATGACTAATGATTTCCCATCAAAACTCTTGCAAAATTGCTCTTGTTTGATGAGAGGAATGAGCAGGAACATTGTCAGAGTGGAGAATGACTCTCTGATGAAGCTTTCTCAGGCATTTTCTGCTAAATTTTTTGCTGGCTTTCTCAAAACACTCTCATAATAAGCAGATGTTATTGTTCTTTGGCCCTCCAGAAAGTCAATAACCAAAATGCCTTGAACATTGAAAATAACAAATGATGTGACCTTTGCTCTTGACTGATCCAGTTTTGATTTGACTGGATCACATCCACTTCTTGGTAGCCATTGCTTTGATTGTGCATTGTCTTCAGGATTGTTCTGGTAAAGCCATGTTTCACCTCCTGCTACAATTCTTCAAAGAAATACTTCAGGATCTTTATCCAACTTGTTTAAAATTCCCATTGAAAACTCTGTAGCTAATCTGAGCATGATGGTTTGGCACCTACCAAGTAGAATATTTGCTTAACTTTAATTTTTTTTTTTGAGACGGAGTCTCACTCTGTCGCCCAGGCTAGAATGCAGTGGTGCAATCTTGGCTCACTGCAACTTCCGTCTCCTGTGTTCGAGCAGTTCTCTGCCTCAGCCTCCCAAGTAGCTGAGATTACAGGCATCCGCCACCACACCCAGCTAATTGTTATTTTTATTTTTTATTTTTTAAGATGGAGTATCGCTCTTGTTACCCAGGCTGGAGTGCAATGGCGCAATCTCGGCTCACTGCAACCTCTGCCTCCTGGGTTCAGGCAATTCTCCTGCCTCAGCCTCCCAAGTAGCTGGGATTACAGTCACATGCCACCATGCCCAGCTAATTTTTTGTATCTTTAGTAGAGAAGGGGTTTCACCATGTTGACCTGGATGGTCTCGATATCTTGACCTCGTGATCCACCCGCCTTAATTTTTATATTTTTAGTAGAGACAAGGTTTCACCATCTTGGCCAGGCTGGGCTTGAACTCCTGACCTTGTGATCCACCTGCCTTGGCCTCCCAAAGTGCTGGGATTACAGGTGTGAGCCACCGCACCTGGAGCTCAACTTTAATTTTTCAGTCAGAATTATGTAAACAGAACCAACTGAGAGGTCTGTGGTGTTGGTTATTATTTCTGCTGTTGTCAATTCACTTCAGTTAGGACACAAAATATTTTTCTCATAAATTGATGTGGATGGTCTGCTATTGTGGGTTTCATCTTCAACATCATCTCATCCTTCTTTATTTTATTTCTTTGTTTTGTTTTGTTTTGAGACAGAGTCTTAGTCTGTTGCCAGGCTGGAGTGCAGTGGCATGATCTCGGCTCACTACAACCTCCATCTCCTGCCTCAGTGTCCTGAGAAGCTAGGATTACAGGCACATGCCACCATGCCTGGCTAATTTTTGTATTTTTAGTAGAGATGGAGTTTCACTATATTGGCCAGGATGGTCTTGACCTCCTGACCTTGTGATCTGCCCGCCTTGGCCTCCCAAAGTGCTGGGATTAGAGGTGTGAGCCACCATGCCCTGCCAATTTTATTTTGTTTTTGAGATGGAGTCTTGCTCTGTTGCCCAGGCTGGTGTGCAATGGTGCGGTCTTAGCTCACCACAACCTCCACCTCCCAGATTTAAGTGGTTCTCCTGCCTCAGCCTTCCCAAGTAGCTGGGATTACAGGCACCCACCAAAACGCCCAGCTAAGTTTTGTATTTTTAGTAGAGACGGGGTTTCACCATGTAGGCCAGCCTGTTCTTGAACTCCTGGCCTCGTGATCTGCCTACCTCAGCCTTCCAAAGTGCTGAGATTAGAAGTGTGAGCCACCATGCCTAGTCCCCTTTGTTTCTTTCTTTTTTTTTAATTTTTATTTTTATCATTATTTTATTAGAGACGGGGTTTCACCATGTTGGCCAGGATGGTCTCGATCTCTTGACCTTGTTATCCAACCACCTCGGCCTCCCAAAGTGTTGGGATTACAAGCATGAGCCACTGTGCCCGGCCCTCTTTCTTTTCTTTTCTTTTTTTTTGACAGGGTCTCGCTCTGTCACCCAGTAGCTCAATCATGGCTCACTACAGCCTCAACCTCTTGGGCTCAAGTGATCCTCCTGCCTTAGCCTCTTGAGTAGCTGAGACTACAAGCAACACACCACTAAGCCCAGCTAATTTTTTTTTTAAATTTTATTTTGTATAGACAAGGTCTCCACTATGTTGCTGGGCAACAAGAATGAAACTCCATCTCAAAAAAAAAAAAAAAAAAAAGAGAAAGAAAGGGAAGGGAAGGGGAAGGGGAAGGGGGAAGGAAGAAAAGAAACAAGAAGGAGAGAGGGAAGAAAGGAAGGAAAGGAGGAAGGGAGGGAGGGAGGGAAGAAGACTATGCAGGATTAGTATGAAGATGGGCAACTCCAGTGCCACTAAGGGCTCACTATCAGGAAATGACAGCAACATCAGGATAAATGGCAATGGATAGCCTCTGTTTGAGGGCTGGGAGTAGTGGGAAATGTGACAATTTGTGTTCTGTTTAAAGCCAGCAGCATCTACTCAGCTCCATTTTATTGTTATTATAAGAGAATCAGAACCCCAACTGTCAAATCTGAAGATTTTTCAAGAGAAACTAGAAATCTGTTGTTATTGTTTAAATGTGAACCCTCCCACTTTAAAATGTGAGGTGACTTATTTTTTTTTTTTAGTGCTGGCCAAAAAAAACCCAGATTAGAAGTTCCTTTGAGCTGCCAGATTCCAACCCTTAGATTTCAGTAAAATGGAGGCAGGCAAAGGAATGTAAACTCTGATGGCTTTTTGCACACAGTCTTGCTCCTTTCTTATTCACTCCCCTGTTGCTGCTGGATACTTTTCTAAAATCTGATCATTCAAAAACACTTCCAACAACAATAATGACGCAACCTATCAAAACCTCGGGGATACAGCAAAGGCGTAGCTAAGAGGAAAGTTCATAGCCCTAAACGCCTACATCAAAAGACAGAAAGAGCACAAACTACAGATATTCTAAGGTCACACCTCAAGGAACTAGAGAAACAAGAACAAATCAAACCCAAATCTAGCAGGAGAAAGGAAATAACCAAGATCCCAGCAGAACTAAATGCAATTGAAACAAAAACAAACAAACAAAATACAAAAGATAAATGAAACAAAAAGCTGGTTCTTTGAAAATGTAAATAAAATTGATAAACCATTAGCAAGATTAAACAAGAAAAGAAGAGAGAAAATCCAAACAATCTTGCTAAGAAATGAAACAGGAGGTATTGCAACTGACACCACTGAAATACAAAGGATCAAGGCAACTATGAACACTTTTATGCACATAAACTAGAAAACCTAGAAGAGATAAATAACTTCCTGAAAAATACAACCCTCCTAGCTTAAATTGGGAAGAACTAGATATCCCGAACAGAACAATAACAAGCAGCAAGATTTAAATGGTAATTTAAAAATTACCAACAAAAAAAAATCTAGGACCTGATGTTTTCACATCAGAATTCTACCAGACGTACAAAGAAGAATTGGTACCAATCCTTTCGACACTATTCCACAAGGCAGAGCAAGAAGGAATCGTCCCTAATTCATTATATGAAGCCAACATCACCCTAATGCCAAAACCAGGAAAGGACATAACAAAAAAATAAAACTACAGGCCAGGCGTGGTGGCTCATCCCAGCACTTTAGGAGGTTGAGACAGGCAGATCACCTGAGGTTGGGAGTTTGAGACCAGCCCGACCAATGTGGTGAAATCCCATCTTTACTAAAAATACAAAATTAGCTGGGCATGGTGGTGCATGCCTGTAATCCTAGCTACTCAGGAGGCTGAGGCAGGAGAATTGCTTGAACCTTGGAGGCGGAGGCTTTGGTGAGCCGAGATCTTACCATTGAACTCCAGCCTGGGCAGCAAGAGCGAAATTCCATCTCAAATTAAAAAAAAGGAAAGAAAACTACAGACCAAAATCCT